GTTTCTCCCTGCTCCCCCTCCCACCCCTCCACAGGATTATTCTGCCGGTCTGTTTTGTGTCTCAGAAAAGAAATTGTCTCTACATGCAGTGAGCAACATCTTCAAGTTTTCTTTGTAAATTTCATTAATATGGTTTGTAATCATATTAAAAATACATATTGCAAATGGTTTGTAATATAGTTTGATACTGAGAGTGCCTCTGAGGAAAAACGTCATTCAAAATGCAGTGGGCTCAATAATAGTGTCCTGTGCAGTGAGTGTATAGGACTCATATCCCCGAACTGCCTTGATTAAATTGGGACATCCTGCTTTTGGGCTCCGTGCTCTCACAGAGGCCAGCACTCTGTGAAGAAGAGATGATAAATAAAGAATCTGTTTCTTTGAACTGAATCACACTGTCTTCTCTGGAAGTAACCTGCCTGGCTGAACTGCTGGAGTAGGTCATACAATAGTAGTACTAACAGTGACAATTACTGCCAACAACAATGTTCTTGTGCACTTGGATACTTCTTCCTTATTTTCCCTGCCTGTATAAGAAATGCTACTAGCTTTCAACAGCATTGCTAATATGTGACTTTTCTATTAACAGAATTAATGAGAAGTTACTAGGTAACACAAAGCATGGAGGGCTTATTGGGCTGTTGTTTTATTATGATTATATATTTTGTGGTTTTATATACTGATTTTTTTCTGTCAACCGCCCTGAGACCTCCGGGTATAGGGAAGTATATAAATTCAATAAACAACAACAGTTTTCAATTTACCCTCCTTATTGCCTCATTGCTGTTATGCATGATTAAATCAATTCCTTTAAAGCTAAATTTTAATTTATTTTTACTACATTTAAACACTTTGCGTTGTAGCTAAAAAAAAACCAAACATTTTCTGTCCCTCTCAAAACACAGTATGATTCATATAAGAAAAGTATTGGGTCCAATCCTATCCTGTCAAGTCCATTGCTTTCTTTGGGTCTACTCTATGTAAGACTAACATAGAATATCACCTACTACCGACAATTAATCACTAAATCATTTCAAATCTGAAATATTCATCATTATATTTTTAAAATTCACATGCCTTGAAATTCAAAAAAAGAAACTAATATCTCCTAAAGGAGTCAGATAAAGGTGTTTCTCCAAGAAAAAGCCATTCTTTGCTCTCTGTGCTTTTCTGTTGTTCAGACACATATTTCTGGCATCTGTGAATAGGGCGCAGCATACAGATATTCATGAATTTGGATTTGCTCGTGCTATTATTCTCTCTGTGGTTGGTTTATATGCGCTCGGTTTAAGTTAGTCTACTAAGAATTTGACTCTCAATACCTGAATTCACTGTATCTTTTGGAGATAACCTTACATTAATTCCCAAAGCGCTACTCAGCTGATAAAAATGAGAAGAGTAAGCACTTTGTAAGATGACAGTGAATAAATAAATATATTATGGCATTAGCATAGAAAGCATTGAGAATTTCTGACTTTGTTTATTAGGGTTTTTTGTTGTTGTTGTTGTTTACTTCAAGCAAAACGAACGAGTCCATCCTAAGAATGGTAGGATTTATTATTATTTTTTTAACACTATTTTTGGAAAATGTTAAATCTAGCATATTCTAATGCAAACCAGCATGAAATGAAGTTTGCATACCAAATGGTTCTCTTTCCCTGAGCATTTGTGATTCCTGGGAGAATTCTAAATGCCAATAGTTTGCAGCCTTTCCCTGCCTCTTTTTGGGGGTTTTCCCCTATTACTTTCTAATAGGGGTGCACAAGGGCAATTCAGCAAGCCTTAGCTCAGTTAGTGCTAGCAGCTGTCACATGACGGCCCAGTGTGCATACCCTCCTCCCTACACATCAAAAGGTATGCAAGTTGGGACCTCCACAATGATTCCTGATTTTGTAATGGGCCCTCTACATTTGCTCTGTGTTCTGAAGGAAGAGACTTCATTTGTTCAGGAGTTGGCATGGAAGCTTATGTGTTCTCTGAGGTGCATTTTAGAGAGGTATACATGTCCAGTCCACCCCTTTGAAAGGACCACTTTTGCAGCTGGTCATGTATGAAGCAAAGCTGCCCTAGAGTAGAAAAGAAATTGGTCTCACCTGGCCGAAATCCACGCACCCCTCAGAAAGATGAAGCAATTTGATGTAGTGTAAAAGTTATTTACAATGTCCTGGGTGATCGTTGTCATTTTGTGATTATAACCTTGCATGTGGTTGCAAAATTGTGTGTAAATTATACTTTAAGATATAATGAGCAATTTAATGGGCCCTTACACCAACTGCATTATCGAAATGCCTGCTAAAGGATAATAAAGGATCTAGGTATGTATATGTGTGTATGCCTTTTTTCTGGAGAAAGTTAAGCATCAGGAACATCCCTTTTGTGATCTGTTTCTGATCTTCAGCTATGACATCACTTTTTACTCTTCAGGGAGGTGGCGGAGAAATGAAATCTCTGGAATGCTGTGCAAGAAGGGCAAGCTTGTGTAACAATTCAATCATAGTTCTGCTAACTTTTATCAGCTGGGAAACAGGCCTATGTACATCTGGCTGCCTATCTCTGGAAGATTTCACTAAGAATCAAATGGCTAGCAAGAAAGTGAGATCATCAGAAATATCAAGTATCTAGACATTCTTAACACTGTTTCTCAGTGTGTGGGTTTTTCCTTCTTCCTCTTCTTCCCAGAATTAATCTGCCAAGACTGCTGCTTGAAGAAATATTTCTTTTAGTAGTATACATTGGCCCATTATACACATCCCCCACGCTAATCGCCACCCTGGGAAACTCAAGCTCTATACAAGGCATGGAAATTGCTTTCTGTAATCACCCAGCATTATTTTACATTTGATTGCTTGAAGGCTCTGGGAGCAAATATTATGCTTGATTACAGTTCTAATGTGTTTAAAGCAAGGGGCACTCATAAATGGAGAAGAGGCAATGGGAAATACATCTAACATTTGCACTACCTCAGTCCAAGAGGCTCCGAAGGTCAGAGTGCCCTTTTCACCTAAGTCACAGTTGCTTCAAGAAGCCACTTGTGACTATATTTATTTGTTGTATTTAATGCATTAATAAAGCTGTAATAGCTGTGGGGGCAACTTCCTTAACTGGACCTGCCATTTTAAACCTTTCCTAATAATCTTACTGTGCATTTAATTTGCTTCCTGTCCTTATTAGCTCCTGTCAAACAAGGCGAGGCTATTGTGTCTTGTCTTGCTCATTTTAATTTAATCATTGCTCCTGTAAAGAAAAGAGAAAGTGCATAAATAATTTCGTCCCGGAAGATGAATGGAAGGGGAAAGGGAAGATGCCCAGCTGAGCTAGTTTAAGAATGTATTACTTTAATCTTGAGGTAAATTTATCTGTCTTTCTATGAAGAAAGGCAGAGAAATTTACCTAAGATTGCTTTCCCAATTCTTCCCATGCTACAAGATCCAGGAAATGCCCTGCCTTGCTAGCTAGTTGGGTGGCATGATGAAAAAAAGACAACAGAGTTCCAGAACAGAAAATTTCAGCTTGCATGACAAGCTGCACCTGCTGAAATTCCCTCTTCTAAACAACAATGATGTGAAACTGCATTTGGCTTGGTAGATCAATGAGGGATAAGGAGTAGGATTAAATGAGGGATATTGGTGACCATCCCAAAACACCACTTGGCACAAACGGTGAAGGTTTCCCCACTCAGGAAGAGGAAGTTCACTGGTTGGAATTTGGCTGTCTTGGCTGCTCAGGCCAAATCAAGATACAGAACTTCATTTTCTTTCACCTAAGTTTAGTTACCACCGAATGCACCCTATGTACTTGCATTATATACTGCATCTTGCTAACCATTATTATCTATTTTGCCATATTAACATGAGTAAGTGGACTGTTCTTAGCATATTTGTTCATGTTCCCTAGCCATCTGACAATAAATATCCTAGTAACTTTAAAATGTCTGATTTGTAGACCCTTTCTGTGAATAAATTAAGCTGGATTTATAGTTGCTTCTCTGCAGTTCCATAGAGGTCATTGTGAATGTGGACTCACAGTGCTCTGTTTTATTCTGTTGTATTCCCAAGTGTACTGTAGATATTTATTATTTGCAAATAGTTTTTTCAGAGTTGCATCCAGACACACTTGTGCTTAGAGTAGATCTGTTGTAATCCATAGGACTCAGATTAGTCAAGACTGACTGAAGTTCCATTGCTGTCAATGGGTCTACTCTAAGCAGGACTAACAATGCAGTCCTAAAGCACAGATAGAGTCCTACCTTATCACCTGACTTATCTGGGGAGGTAGGTTGTGGGGCCCCCTCCATGCATAAAATGATCAGCTTGATGATTTGGGAAATGCAAATAGCATCCACATTAGTAGGCAAGGCTCTGCCTGAGCACAGTGCTCTACCTACATCATCCGTATAACTATTATTTTGCCACCACAGCCAGAATCAGTGGGGTTTTGGGAAGCCAGGTAAGATCCCCAGAACTTGGGTTTAGTCTCCTCTGCTCAAGTATTGAGGATATTCTTCAGACTTGATTGCTACTAAATCCAAAAGAAAGCTGACTAAATCCATGTACAGCTTTCCTTAAATTCTGTGGCCAAAACTGGAAACTTATCAGCATGCTGTGTAACTACAAGTGCATAACCATTCTATTTTTAAAGTATTCCATTTTTTCCTACTTCAGAGCTGAACCACAAAATTTAAAATCACAAAAGATCAGAGAGAGAGAGAGAGAGAGAGAGAGAGAGAGAAGAACTAACATTCATGCCGAAGGCCTTACTAAACAAAACAAAAAATGTGTGTACATAATCTTTCAGCATGGGAATATAGTATAAAGTAGCTTTCTGTGGTCTAAATCAGATCATTGGTTCATCTGGCTGCCTATTTTGTTATTTTAAATCTCTGCTTGGGTTGCCTCACCTAAGAGTAATTGCCCCAAACTTGGATCTTGACAGGAATTTTCCTTTTATATCTATTTTTTCCTTGCAACCAATGCTGAGTACATTGACTAGCAATGGCTGTGCAGCCCTACCTGGGGACTGAACCTGGGATCTTCTGCATGCAAAGCAGATGCTCTACCTTTGAGCCATAGCTTCCCCTCCCACCTTCAGTGATCTTAACCAGACAGGCTTGTGTCAGTCTTGGATATAACTTTCCTCCCTTGCTCGCCCTGTTTTGCAGTGTCAGAGTGGTAGTGTTATTTATTTATGTATTATGTTTCTTAAGAGAAATATAGTCCAATGAACAAATGATGGATCACTTCAGAGTTATATAAATTATACAGAAAGCTTGCAATTGAGGGCATGTTTTCCTCAAATAAATAAATAAATGTTAGGCTTCCTTTAAAAAACAACAGCACATAATTAAAACAACTCTGTGGTAGCTTTCATTGTCACGAATGAATGCAGAGTTCAAGTGCAATATATTTTGTTCAACAGAAGCTATAACAAAAAGCCAAGGAATTGACATTAGTTGACAAATAACTTATTCTTGTCATTTTTATTAATCTTGATATATGAGCCATATTATAGATTTGTCTCTGGTGTGTGTGTGTGAGAGAGAGAGAGACGGAGAGAGAGAGGGTCTAAATTACACAAGACTGGCAATATTAGTTTGTGCAGTGAAAATGACTGCACAGCATGAACAACTGGCTAAAAAATACGTTTATTTGCTCATTATTACTCTTTACGCTTTTAGATTTTCTCCCAAATAAATGGTAATTCTTGAAAACAGAAGAAAAATATTTGTCTGCTAATGGTGATATTGTGGTGATGAAAGGTAGCTCCACAACATTTTTTTAAAGCCAAAATATCTTGGTTGTCATTGGACAGAAAGTGGGTGTTTTAATAATTCAGGGAAGTTTTTGAATTAAATTGAATTTTTATGTAATAGACCTTAAGCCAGGACCTTTGCTTCCTATAATACACGGCAAATTTATTTCACATATCCATTTTATTAAAACAAATCAGATAGTAATAGGGTAATTTGATAATTCAGTGAAGTCAAAAAGGAGACTTCAACCAAACACTTCAAATATATTTTAATAATGGAGAAAGAATAAAAATAGGTCTGTCTCTGTGTTCACCATCAAAAGAAATTGCAACTTAAAAAAATACAGACTTTGACTGTACCATCAAGCAGTGGTTACCACACTTGTTCAGCACATACGCCTGAACCTATTTTTCATGTTTGAGGAATAAAGTACAAGGGATGACCGAAGAATTTAGTCTGGTGTTAGGGAGACTTATTCCCTTAGCAACCCCTGATTCCATTCCCACCAGAAGACAAGTTGTTGTCAGTCTAGTATAGCTGGGCCAGAAACTAGCACAAGATGCCAGATTTATAGGAGTATAGGTAATTTAGGACACTTGGTCTAGATAATAGAGCATTCTGAGGAAAATTGAAGTGAGTGAGATGAGAGAACAAGAAGAGAATTAATAGAGAACTTTACCTATTCTTAGTCTGCTGCTATGAATGGACAAGCGGATAGTGGAGGTTCAATCATTAGGTTGAACAAGGAATTGCCCAACCAACTCGCCTGCCTTCTTACTTACAAACCAGCTCAGGGAGTGACACTGGCTGTTGGCTTCCTCCTTCTTAGTTTCAGTGTTGCCATTGTAAAACTCAGCAAGGAGGATAGGGACAAAACTAGAATTAGGTGTCTTTGCCAATCATTAGCTCCAGCTCCCCTACTGTTGGCCTCCCTGTCTTTCACCCAACCATTCCAATGGTGCCCATTACCATTGGTGGAAGAGGAATTCTCAGCAGTAGATTAAGTCCTAGATGACAGAGGAATCCAGCAGATTGAGCATCCCCCATACCCCAAAAACCTGATGTTGAGGGATCAAACAGCCCTCCATGATACCAGGTGGCGGGAGGGGAGGTTTGTACATAGGATTATACAGGAAAGGAGATATGTGAAAATCACTTCTCTATCTTCCACCTGCAGGAGCATCCAGTTAGCGGGGTGAAAGGCTCCACAGGATCAGAGTCCTATCCATGGACAGAAAGAGACCTTCTTCTCTTTAGAGGAGGATGTTTGGAGACAGACTACAGCTCAGTGGTGGAGTATCTGATTTGCAGGGAGAAGATCCCTTGTCATCTCCAGGTAGGGGATGGAGAGATCGCTGTCTGAACACCTGGAGAATCCTTGTCAGTCAGTGTAGACAATACTGAGCTATTGGTTGGTATAAGGCAGCTTCCCATGCAACTCGTGGTTTTGGTGCCATTACTGCCTTTCTGATTTTCATTTTAAATTCTCAACATGATTTAAAATCCAAGGTTACACCCTTTGACTCTACTGCTATTGATGCAGACCACCACCAAATTGGCCACACCCCTTTCCGCTTTCCAGGTGCTCCATCACACACAACATGTGGTGTGAATAGGTTTCATTTCTCGGTGACATTATTGTATTGTATTTAATTCCAACTACAGATTTCAGTTTCTCCACCATAAGCAAGGCAGGTGGCCCTGCGCCTTTCAGAATCAAATTCTATGGACAGGAAAGAATTATTTATTACTGAAAACAGTATTATAGGAGATGAATGGAAAAGCATTGAAATTAGGTGCTTTGGGGTGTTGCATCTCAGACTCATTACATCATGCTGTTAAATTGGTATAATGATTTGAGATTTTTGCCCAAGGAAATGGGGAACTATTTAGCACTTTTTGATTCAACAATAATTATTAGAACATCTGCTGTTGAATAAATTTCAATCTGTGAATTTTCATTTTCTAGCTGGGGCAACTAGGGAAGGCTTAAACGTTTCCTGAGAAAACACTGAGTACTTGAATACAGTATAAATTATGGAATGATATATTATATTTACCCCAAGTGTATTCCTGATTTCTTCCTGCTGGGTTTATTAAAAACAACATTTTTATACAAGTTGGTAAAAAATGAATTAGACGATGTGAAAAAAAGTAACTAAACATGCATATTGATACACTTGAAGAACACAGGACAAGCTCTTCCTCTGCATATATATGTACTACACCTGCAGAGCTTGTGATCCACCAGGTCTATCACTGCCAAGCATTGGGGAAGGGAAGTTGTGCCTTGTCCAGTGACTAACAACCCACCTCTTTGTGTAGTTCCAGGCAAGTGGCCAAAGCAGGAAATCCATTTAGCTTGATTGGCTATCACACAATGCTCTGAAATGGCATTTGGCTTGGTATGTCTTGGTAGAGCCATTGTGGTGTACTGTTGTGGTTAGGTTCAGGTAGGTAGCCGTGTTGGTCTGACACAGTCGAAATAAAAAAATAGTCCAGTAGCACCTTAGAGACCCACTAAGTTTGTTCTGGGTATAAGCTTTCGTGTGCATGCACATAAGTACTAGGAGAGCAGCTCAGCCACAAATCTCACTGGGCGATCTTGGGCCAGTCATAGTCTCTCAGCCTACCCTAACTCTCACAGGGTTGTTGGGAGGATAAAATGGGGAGAATCGCATCTGCTGCCTTCAGCACCTTGGGCAAATGGTGGGATTTTAAGGTAATAATAACAAAGTAAGATTATTGTAGTGTGATAAAGCAGGTAGGACTTAGCCCTTAATAATGTGTTGTCATCTGAACATTTTATGGATTTTGTATTGTCAGAGTTTTAAATTTTTCTCTGGTTGTGTTGTCAAGTCACATATATTTTTTACTGTAAAAAGCAACTGATAAATGAAATATATAATAATAACAATATATAAGTTGTGCAGGCTGTACCAATTCATGCTGATCCAGAGACTCAGCAACATAGGAAATCAGACCAATGGTCCTTTCAGCTTAGATGGTCTACAGTGACTGGCTGTGGTTCAGCAGGTTTTCAGAGAGTGGTATCTCTCAGTCTGACTTGGAAGTTGTGGTGTACTGAACCCGGCAACTTTTGTAGGCATTGCATATGTTCTACTACTGAACTACAGCTCTTTCTTTGTGGCAATGTGGATCTGATACATGCATGTGCTTTGACATTCATTTCAGTATCAGGGACAGCCCTTCGTCAGCATTAATTTGTGAATGTACAGCTGCCCCTTTCACTGAAATCAGTAAGGTGGCCCAAGCATGCGTTATTTCTGTTGTGCTTAACATCACAGTCTTCACACAGCCCTCAGCTAGAGCGACTAGCTCCATTATGGACGCAAGGAGACATCCAGAAAAAGAAAGGAGAAACAGAGGCTCATCCTTTCTCAACCCTATTACAAATATTATGAATTAAGTCATGAAAATACATAGTTAAATTATCTCTCAGTACCTCAGGGGCAATGAAACAATGTTTTTACAGTGATGATTTGTCATGACTAATGTGATCCAGAATATCAATAGGTTTGGCTTTGGGGCTGAATTATAGTTAGGGAAGAGAAATGTCCCCTTTCTCTCTAAGATTAGCTACTTTGAAAGTACCTAAAGGCTTGGCTGCATGAGCTGGCATTCTACTGGCAGAATGCCTGGAACTGGGTTTTAAGGATTCAAAATTTGTTTCAAGGATACAATTTTTGACCTTCTGCCCTAGTTCCATCACAGAAAACACTGGGGAGTGGGGGCACACAACCCATACTCCTTAAAAGCTCTCAAGTTCAAAAAGCCATTTGGAGAACTGTTAAAAGAAGTGTCATTCGTGTCTATGTGTTATATCCTCCTGATTGCCCTCCCCCCTCTGAACACAAATAGACAGTTGCAGATATGGAAGTCAAAGTTAAGGCCTGAGGGTGGCAATGGAAGTCTCCCCACAATTCTAGGCTTAACTTTGAACTGAGAACAATCACCAGATGCCACCGAAATAAACAAGAAGTCTCCACTGACCTCCCTGGGGCACAAAATGTGTTGGTGTTTTTTCAAAAAAAATTAACATTTAGGGTTTGTTAAAAACACCACCACCACCACTCTACAGCCATATTCTTTCTCATATATATTCAAAAGTTTGGAGGAGTTTCTTCTTTGTCCCACACTCCCCTCTGGGAAACTGACATTGTGGTTATTTAAGGAGATGTCGAACATTCTCTGTGCAAGTTCATCCCTCAGGCAGGGAGAGTAGAGGTGCTTTGAAACAAAGAAGATTAATACTGTACTATTGTTTGAAGTGTTAATGAACTGAAGTGCCCACATGCTCA